ACTTGTCATTGGAGCTGTTATAAACAATACCTGTTACCATGACTCTGTAGAGGTGTTGGGAATCACTAGCAAAGGATGAAGAAGGGAGAACTGAACTGAACTGTGCAAGGATAAACTGATGAAAGGGTGTGAGGCAATACCCTATGGCCATTTTAGACTTAGTACTGCTAGATCTATCTAGAACAAGGAACTATACACTTGCACTCTCAAACTAGCCAGGAGACTGCCTTGTCTTATTGGATCTGTGTCTGCCTAAGATTGTCCATCTCGATCCACTAAAATCTGGTCTCTAGGTGTTCAAAAATATAGGCAGTTTGGGGTAGACTCATACTTCAAAGGAGTCAGGTCTATGATCAGATCTATGATCAGGTCTATGATCAGATCAATAGGACCTCAGACTTCAGTATCAAGACTTCCAGCTATAAAGCTAATCAACACATATTAGTCCACTTAAAATAATTGGACAGGCTAGAAGACTTTGGATATGTGGGAGCATGAAAATGTTTTAAGGCTCCAGCTGGTGCAGATCTCTGTGCCATTCTGGTTATGGTGTAAAAAAGCATGATCACAGCACAACATGTCAGTGCTTCAGTCTTTGCATGGCATCCTAGTTAGTTGCAAGCATAGTACAAAGTCCTTTTTGGAGTTCAAGGTCCTCCACTACAACTGGTTCCTCCCAAGAGATGTTTTTACCCTTTTATTGCTGTTATGAAAAGTCACAGTTGTGCTTCACCCAAAACTATGTAGTCTTAAAAACAAAAAAACTGAGCAAGAGACTTCACTGATGCTTAGATGTCACGTTAAATGTTCCAAGATCGATAAAACGTGCTCCCCTGAAGGGCAAGTGCTGCCTAACACCTGTGCTCTCGGGACTGGATGTATACTGATAGCTGTAAAATAGCACTTTCACAACAGTCTCACCCTCTTATGTGTGAGGGGAGCAGGGACTGAAGAAGGTGCTCTAACTTGAAGTTTATTCTAGAGGCAGACGTGAGCATGTGTGTTTGCAGTCTCTTTGCCTAACATCATATGAGTCCTGGAAGCTAAAGGTATGTAGGAAGGAAATTCTATCCAGAAAACAGCATCCCTTTCAAGAAAGCTTACTTGACCTTTATTTCTGAAATGTTTTATAGAGCATTCCAATACATATAGCTCAGCTGCTGAAGGAAAAGAGAACTGTGCATCATCATCAGCAGAAACTGCAGGCAGCTCTGATAATTGATCTTATTAGTAATGAAACTAAGTCTTGCTAAATGAAAGCGTATGTAGAATGACTGCTTCCTATATGCCACAGTTGGAGATTTTTATTTTTTAGGGTTTTCAGCTATTTGTGAAACAGATGGTTGCCCAGGCTGTATGTAAATCACATGGACTGAGGAGCTGTGTGTGTGTACTGTACACGGGCACTCTCTTGTGGAGGAACACAGTTTTGAAGTCCACTGCCAAAATATATGTCTTGGCCAACACAGTGCAGTGTGTGGGTAGAGTTAAAGAGTGTGGAACTGAGCAGACAAATCAAAAGTAAGACATTTCTACTCATAAAGGGAGTAAAGTAGAATGTTGGTACATTTTTCTAGAACAGCTGTAAGTCAATGGTGAGGAGCACAGGGAATTCTTATAGATCTCAGAGGAATATAGCTATAATGCTGGAGGACTCTTGAATTAATTTTTTATGTGAGTACAGTAGACCACACTGATATTTCATTACCACTAGAGGAATTTGACTATGGGCCAAAAGAATTTATTCCCTTACCTTTTAAAGGTCTCAGAAGTGCCTACAGAAAAGTATCTTCATTTCTTGCTTCAGTAGCGTGTTGCCTCTCCAGCTACTTTGATGCACCTTGGAAGCAAGGACAGATCTCTTGGCTGATATGCATTAATCATACATAAGTCAATTGTGTAAAGTATAGAAGCAATAGATATGTTTTATTTGCTATCATTTTACAACGTGTGAATTATATTCCTTTTCTCCTTAAATTGCAATTCAGCTATTCAACTAGATTGTTATCCTAAAAAGATGTCAGTTCTTGATCTGGGAAGACACCCAGTCCTGAGAGGAGGAAGCAATGGAACAGCACTGGAAGTGACCACCAATCCTTTATTCCAGATTCACATCAGTTGTATTGCAATTGGAATTTGTTGGGAGCTCTTCAAGATTTTGAAGAGCAAAACATTTTTTTTTCAGGGTTTTGGGAATAATAGAATTTGTCATAAAAGTTTTCTTGCAAAAAGAATGTGTTAGAAAAAAATAAGGACTAGAATTCACATTGATAAATTCTAAAACCAAATCTGTTTTAAGAAACTATTGTTTGCTTCATCCTTTTCCATACACCCCCACCCACTCCTCCACTGCCCCTTTTTACTAGAAGAGTGGGAGAGTATGGGGAATTGGGTTCTGTATCTAAGATGCTCACTGTGTTAGATGACTTTTATTTTCATAAGATGCCTGAACAATGTTTGCCTGCTTTAAGGCATGCTCCATAATTTGGAGTAGTCTGCCTCATGTTTTGTACTAGTATTTAACTCCCTAGGATAGAATAACAGATTAAAAAATACGTAGCATACAAGCATTGCCACGATTAAAACCATCGGAGCTCTCTTTCATTCTAGTTGTGCATTTTCCAGAAAAGGACATCTCACTTCCACTGACATACTGGTGGAGACTTCTTCCAGACATACCTTTTTTCTTTCAACTGACTTTGTTAATGTGCACTTTTTCTTGTCCTTCCTATTTCTTCTTGTATTAGCTGATGGGGTGGGAGTACTAAAACATACATTTTGTCGTCAAAACATCTGAGCTGTTCATGCTTTCCATTTAAAGATAACCTACAGTGATATTCTCTATGCTTAAAATGGTTTTACGTTGCTAGAATGATTTTATTTGTAATAATGCTGTATGACGCAGTTCTCCTGCCTTTTGGGATACTGTAACATAATAGGAGCTGTAAATAACAGCTGCTAATGTCTACAGTCATGCACAACAGGCAGTAATTTAACCATTTGTCTCCCTTCTGTCATGATGGGAAATAGCAAACATTTCTGCCCCAATACTGCATATGATCCCCAAAGCTGTTAGTGGTGCTTATTGTAGAAATATATTTCCAGAAGCAGTGCTGCACCCTGTGCACTTGAGACTAAATGGTAGCAAATGCTTCCATGCATGAGGTTTATTCATCTCAGTATGACTCTGCACTGGGTAAGACACAAACTGTATCTCCAGAGAATCTCTCTCAGTCTGCCAGGCAAGAGGAGTGATGCTGTTGAGCAGGGAAAACCAGAGGAAGAGCCTAGAAACAGCAAAAACTGTCCTATTAGTTTATCTTCTTGAGGCAAAGATTATTGGGGCAGGAAAGGAGCAGAGAAGATGAAGGTGTTTCACCATAAGGGAGGCTAATATTTCAGTATACCTCTGTGAAAGTCATTGTACAAGATTATATGCATGTTATCACTTGTAGATTGCATTAATTTTATTAAAATCTGTTGATTTGCTAGACTTAGGTAATTAAATGCTTAAGTGAGGAAGTGTGAATTTGTAGTTGGCCAAAGCTGCTGTCCCAGAGTCCCCCAGGTCTTATCTGGACACAGCTTAAAATCAGGGAAGAAGTGAGGGGTAATAGTACCAGAGAAACTACGAGAAGCATAACTCATAACTGTGCTCATCTGACAGCAAGCCCTCGGGATGAATCATCTGAAGATTTTCAGTGGTATATATAGGAAACCTAAACTTACCAAAGAGTAACTATGGGATGACAAAAAGCCATGGGGGCATTTGCAGTTTTTCTTACCTTATGTAATGGCTTCTTGAATGTCCTTTATAAACTGAGGACAGATCCTCTGTACTGTGCCATTAAAACTTCTTGTGAGCCAGGAGCCTCCATACTGAACATGGGCAGAACAATGCTGGAGGCTTCAGCTGACAGAAGTTTAATTCATGAACCACCTTCACAAATATATTTGGAAATTGTGAGTCACAGAAATCAGCCCACAAGGCATAAGAAATTACATCATGGTTAAGCTGCAGGTGATTGCAAATGTAAGGGATAAGATACCACATAAGCTTCAGGAAAGGGAAGTATATATTGAAAATGCTTCACTGCTTTTTGCTCCCATTCTCATTTGGAGGGCAGTCGGAGGAAGCAATACAAAATTGAAAAGCCTGAAGAGGAAGGACCAGCATGGCATGAACTGTTAATACCATGTGTTAAAGGATGTGTCCTTTCTTTTTGTTACCATAAAGACTTGGAAATCATGTACAATCATGAGTGCCTCTGCTTTAGGACTAGTGATCCATGCTTCATATACCTGAGTATGAGTCTTGATGATGTATTTGCACTAAATATATATATAATGATTCTTTACAAAAAATCATTAGAATTTGTTGCCCAGTGCTAAAATTTTCTCTCTCTTTTGTTTCTATGGAAACTGTAATACTTATAAGACACAGTAAACAAATGCACTGTATTATAAGCCTCCTCTTTAGCAGGAGATTAATTTTATTAATATCTGTCCAAATTAGTCTGGTGGCAGGTATTGTTCATTTAACCATCCAAACAGTAAAGTATCTATTTTATTTTTACTGAAGACTTATCTTCCAGCTTTGAGGGCTTTTATTTGCTCTTAAATAATTTTCCTGACCCAGTGGTGAGTTGGTATTTGCCAGTGGTTACTGCTGGTAATATTTGCTTAGCTCAGAGGAAACTAGTGAGTGCTTTTATAAAGTGCTTCAGAAACAGAAAAATCTTAAAGCATAGAAGTACACTTTTTGCTAGCTAATACAGAAAATAAAAGCCTCTTTTGCCTGAGATTCTTCTGAACATGCTTATATGGCATGGTCTTCTGGGACATAGCTGGAAAGGCACAGCCTGCTTTCTAAGAAAGAGACTTAGCCTTTTGTGGAATGAATTATACCTCACAAAGTGGAGTGTCATCTTCTGGAGCCATGCACAATTGAAGTATTTTACTTAGCAACAAGTGCTCTGTATGTTCCAGACTGCCAAACACAGCAGAGGCAGTGAGGAGGCTGACCTCTACCTCCCCCTGCTCTGCCTGGAAGGAGTTGCAGGCAGAAACAGCCAGTGCATCTCCTGCAGTGCTGAGGCCCCCGTCTTGTGCTTGAGTCCAGGTGGTAAACTTCCTACTTACTGATGGTGATACAGTGACATTCCTGCATGATTGCTGATCTTGTCTTCTGTTTTAGAAATGAACCTTCCTTCTGTGAAACAAGTTTCAAGGTGACATGCTGAAAAACGTAGTGAGGTTTTCAAAACATTTTAAAACTGGACAAACTGTTCAAGTGACTCAATAAGTGCTATGCCTATGCTGTACTTCTGGAGTGGTTTATGGAGAGTGAAAAAGTCAAAGCTCGAATACTCAAAGATAGGAGTGGAGAAGCCTGTTTGGTTTTCACATGCTGAAGAGACTTCTGGCACTCAGGTTACTTGGAATTTACTCTGAACTCTTCCCCTGGGCTGCAGGATGGCAATGAGGCAGTCTCCTTTACTTCAGTTTGTAACATTAAATGCACTTTAGAAAATTATAGAGAGCTGCTATAGCATAAGCAAAATACTTTTTCTTTGCTATGAAAAATTTATGATGCTTATTTCATTGAAGTCCTGCTGTGTTAAGTATTTAAGAAAATCAGTTGATAACTTTATTTAGTGGTAGTCACTTTTAAAAATGCTTTAGAGAAACTGATGGGAATGGGGCAACTAATTAAGGAAAGCTGTTGATCTAGAAAAACACAAATCATCACTCAAACTTTGATATACTGATGGTGGTAGTAGACAGTAAAATCCCAATTTGTAGGTTTTTCTTTTCAGATTCTTTAGCAGCATTTTGAATATCATTGTTGCTACAGGGACCGAGATAACCTATCTGATAAGGAAACATTTTGGATTTTGGATACAATGGTGACAAGTGGTGCTTCTCAAAGGCACAGGGTACTATGATGTCCAATAAGAAGTAGGCTGTTGGATGGTGCTTAAGTTATTTCCTTCTTTGTGTGCAAGCACAAGCGTCTTGGTATCATCCAAAAGAGACAGCTTCTTTAGGCGGGACATCACATTTGACAGGAACCCTTCAGATACTTTCTACCACTTCAGAGAGACTGGCTCTGTGAGGGATCCTCCTGTGCTCCTTCATAACTATGAACTCAAGATGCAAATGAAGGTACATCAGCCTGCATAGGCAGAGAATATGTTTTTGAAGGAGATAATAGTATTTTATTTTGGTTTTTTTTTCACAGGGGGCGTATTGTATACCTTCAATATAATTGTCTTTCCATTTCTTGTGTTAACTTGAAAAGAAATAGGTTGCACCATACATCACTCAACATATAAACAGGGCTTAGAAAAAAGACAGAGGAACACTTTTACCAGGGCCTGTAGTGACAGAGCAAGGGGCATTGGTTTTAAGCTGAAAGAGGGTAGGTTTGGATTGGATGTAAGGAAGAATTTGTTTACAATGAGAATAGTGAGACACTGGAGAAGGTAAGTGGTGAATGGCCCATCATTAGAAGTGTTCAGAATTAGATTGGATAGGGCTTTGAACAACCTGATCTAGTGAAAGATGTTCCTGCCCATGGCAGGGGGGATTGGACTAGATAATCTTTGAAGAATCCTTCCAACCTAAACCATTTTATGAATCTATGATTTTTTGGTTTTGTTTGTACTTCTTGTTATTTGAATTAAAATTCAGGAAAGGGTAAACTGAGATAGATTTGATTGCTTGTCCTTTTAACTGTCGTGAGATTCACCTTCGTATTGGAAGGCAGATTTTGGCCTTAAGGTGGACATCTTCAAAATATCAACCTTGTAGCCATGAAGATATTACTCTGTTGGAAAACACTGCAAGTAATAGTTGATTGCATTCATTGTTATCTGCTAGAGCTCATCTCTGACTTCTTTACTCAACTAATTTATGTGTGAGGAAGCTGTGGTCTTCTTTCTTCTTTTGAAACTCTATCATTTAAGTCCTTGTGGAAGACATCCTATGCTATTTTATCATTTTTATTTTGTTGAGTTGTAATTCAAGAACATCACAGATCATCAGATACATTTGCTAATGTTTTCTGTTTTCCTTTTCCTTAGGACCTTTCATTACTCAACATAGTCAATAACTCAAATCTTCTCCATTGTTGGTAGTTATTTTCATCCTTTTTATTTTAAGTTTGGCAACTTTATCACTAAATTAGATATTTTTCTGATTTTCATGCCTAATGTTTTGCAGCTCCCTGTAGGTTTGTTTTATTATTGTCTCTCTAATTTTGCTGCCTTTGTTTTTGATCTTCTAATTTTGTTCTTTATAACTTATCATAATTTTTATTTCTGTCTTCTTTATTAACCATGTAAGAAACACTTCCTAGGTTGTTATTCACTATACTTACACTTGATTAATGTAATTTTTTGGCTAGTAGATTCTTAGCTATTTGACATTCTGTAATGCTTGGCTGATTCCTCTGCAAAAATCTTTTAGCATTGTGTCCTGCAAGTTATTGACAAATTACTCTCAACAGTAAAATGCAGAGCATCCTTAACTGTCACTGACATCTTTGCTTGGCGTTATAGGAGACATATGGCTTCCTACAAAACTGTGTTGTTATTTAACTTAAATTTTGTTGCCTTCCTGTTGGAGCTTTTGAACTAAGGTATAAATACTGTACCATAAATATTTCTTTTCCCCTTCAAGGAATCTGATGTTAGCTTAACACTGAGCATTCCAGGAGAACCTGAGAGGTTTAGCTTGCAGTAAAAATATTTTGGTGTTTCATTCCTCTCTGCTTCCTCCTGGCATTTGAATGTGTGCACAGCACATTCAGTCTTGAATTTTGTCTCAAGCCATGTGAATAGGATGGCATGGAAGTGCCAAGAGTAAGCTAATTTTGGAGCAGAAATGAAGGTACAGGTTCTTTGTTGTTGTTGTGTTGTTGGCAGGGGTGTTGAACTAGATGATCTCTAAGGTCCCTTCCAACCCAAACTATTCTGTGATTCTATGAAAACTCTATAAGTGCACCAGTATTATATCAGTATTCAAAGTAACAATCAGGATTACTCCAGTAACAAATTAGTTTCCTTTGATATAAAAACTGAATTCTGTCTCCTTTTTTTTGTTAGTAAGGACTTACAAGTTTAGACTCTGTAATGGGTTTTCACATGTTTTTATGACAGTAGGTCTTGTCATAGAATCATAGAATAGTTTGGGTTGGAAGGGACCTTAAAGGTCCTCTAGCTCCAACCCTGGCATGGGCAGGAACACCTTTCACTAGACCAGGTTGCTCAGAGCTCCATCCAACCTGGCCTTGAACGCTTTCAGGGTTGCAGAAATTTTCTTCAATGTTTTAGTTAATTTCGGCCCAATGTGTATAGAGTGCTGCAAACTGTCTGACTTGATGTAGATGTTTGTAAAACCATCACTCCATTTTAACAGAATTAATGGGTTACACGGTTGAAAGACAGATCTCAAACAGTTATTGTGGTGGCAGTGAAATAGAGCTGCTTTTAGAATGGCTATGCAACAAGTGGAACCAGGTTCAGCCCTATTTAGCACTAAACTGGAATTAAATATAAAAGAAAAATCTTCTAAAACTTATATCTGAAATGAACAATAGGAACACCATGAATAAAGTGTACAGTTGTCTAAATTAATCTCATTTGTGTCCACAAAGCTGAACTGCTTTCAACAAAATTATTTTAGTTTAGGGAAAAATGAAATGGCCGATTGGGACCAAGAAAAAAGGTCACGAAACTAGAAAAGCAAAGAATATCTTCTTAGAAATGTTAACTCTTTCTGTTCTGTGGGGCTGGACATGGGATGTTTCAGGGTCATGCTGGGAGTTGAAGGGCTCACTTCCTGATACGATATTTAAATAGAGGACTAGTGAACAGGAAGATGGTTTCAGCATTACAAATGGTGTTCATTATATTAGTACATGACAGTTTTCTTGCTTGTCTTTTTTAAGTGACCTTGAAAAAACACAGAGGCATGCTGAAAAGAGGGAAAAAACCCCTTAAGATCTGGGTAAAGTGCTTTACAGTCAGACTCAGTTTGATCTTTGGCTTTTCAGAAACAGAGGTGTATTTTAGCTGAACCAGATAAGCATCACTCCATCATCAAATACAAGGTTCTTCAATTTCTCTGAGAAAAGCAGAACAAGACAACTGCAGATAAGGGATTTTTTTTGCTATGGTGAAAATGGTGCTGGAAATGGCTGGATGGAAATGGAACACCCATTTCCTGCAGCAGATTCTTCATCTCTGAACAGCTCCCACTCAGATCTGTTCTGTCTCATATCTGTCATACCTGAGGAGTTTTGGGTTGATCCTTTCACCTCAAGAGGCCAGACCTGTTGAGTCAGAGGTGTATTTCTAGAATATTCGTGAGACATGCACTACAATACTGAGTCAAATGATAACCCTTTTGAACACCAGGCTTCTTAGACTTTCTGACTTCAGTTTATGGCAATTTTCAAGGTACTTATTCAAATATCTTGATAATGCACTTCAGATAGATGTAAAGATCTTTAGATGGGCCACTTTTTTTTATTTTCTTGCATAGCTGGGTGCATGCACTGATTACCTTTAAGACTAATTGCTGTTTGAAAATTTTCCTTAATATAAAACTAGATATTAGCTGTAGCACTAAATTTTAAAAATTCTGAATTCCCTTTTTCCTCTCTGTATTTCTTCTACAGAAAATTTTTTCATTCTTACTATGTAAAATTTTTTCAGGGCATTGGTGTTCTAGTGGCCACGATATAGATACTGCTGCCAGTATGACCATGACATACCCGTGGATATGTGCTTCTTTAAAAGGTCATCATTTAGACAACCAAGTTGACTCGAGTTTTGTGTAAGATGTAGATGTCTGTGGAGACATGGTGATTTAACTATATGATTTAATGATCCTTTCCAGCTCTTTGGGAAACAATGAACTGTATGTGAGTTGCTTTTCTGGTAATTAAGGGCTTCAGGAACAGGCTGAAATGATTTCTTCATCACACCCTGTTACCTGTACAATGTAGCCTGCATATTCTCCTGAAAATTACACTTAAATTATTATCTTCTTCCCAGCTATTTGTAACATCAAAGCTTTTAACTTTTATCTTGATGTTATCATGGATGGATC